ATTCAGCCTGTCCAGGTCCCTCTGCAGAGCTAGGAAATCTGGTTTCTTTCCATATATTGAATCTCCTATGCAGTCTAGTAACATTATTTAATTGATGTTTTTGGATTGTAGGAGAACTGCAGGGTAATAAGTCTTATCTTTGCATGCAGTTTTGAGGAATAAATTTTAACATCTAATTATAAAGAAAATGAGATTACAGAATTTTAATATAGTAAGGAATAATTGAAAAACTAATAAAAAAGCTGCCCTCTTGAAAGCCTGTCCTAAAACAAGCCTGTGAAATAAATGGCACAGTTGCTTGGGTAGTGAACTACAGCCTTTACAGGTGCAATTGCTAACTTGATTTGTTAATGATAATTAAACAGATGAAAAAGGTGTTTCAGGTGTCGGCCATTTGGCAGCCACTTTATAGTCCTTAAGCTTTTATAAATTAGTAAGGTCAGGAAAGATGTTTATGAATGCTGCACTAATGGCCTGCAAGATGCCTGCTGCAGACTGCCCAGAGTTAATTACTCGGAGTTGTCTGTGTGGGTTGATTTTTGTCTTTTTTTGTTTTTCCCTTTTAAATTCCCAGGTGGTACCACACAACTCTTTGTGCTGAGGGAAAACATAATTATTTCTGTAAAAGTTCACCACTGTGGCCAGCATCATCTTTTGACTTTCTGAGGCTTCAAGTATCTGAAGTTAAATGCACAGAATCCTTTGACTGATACTTTCAGTTTTGAAGCATGAGTTGCAGAAACGCTGTTCCTGTCCTCTAGTGCTATTTTTGTGTGGAGTTTGTCATTTGAAACGCCTTTGCAAAACGTGTTATTTAAAATAATTTATATTGCTTTTGGTTGCACGCACCAGATACTGTGCACTAGGTGTCAGCATTGGTCCTCCTTCACAACTCCATGCTGCTGGTTACTGGGATGTAGACTTGAAGTTGTTGGTAGCTCCCAAATTTTCTGCTGCAGTTTCTTCTTGGCTGTCTGATTTCAAAGCAAGGATGTCATTCAGAGCAGAGGGAAAGACTGATTATTTGGGATTTGTGCCAATATATTGATAAGCTAAAGCAGCACGTTGGTAGCTACTCATCAAGTTTGTTTCAACTTTAAGCCTAACTAACGGGGCTTAACCTTCCAGAAACGTCTTCCTCACTAGCTGACAGTCTGCATATGTATTGTATCATGGAACAAAAATTTTGTGGTTTACAAGATCAGAGAGAGAGAAAAATGGAGACAGTTTCTTTGCTTTCATAGCCTGAGATTTCAAGATGAATAATGAGATTTAACCTTAAAGGGATTAAAATGTTTAACTTGGTAAATCAGTAGATTTTGGAAGTGGTGTATTTTTGCATTCTCATGCACATGAATATCGTGTTCAATGTCTTCCATAAAATGTGGAGCTGTTGGGCTGTTATTGACTGTTTTGACGATTTACTTGTTAGTACCACTGACAAATAAAGTTGCTAACGAACTTTATCTTGGCTGCTTTTGGTAGCTGTTGAACTTGAAGCAAGCTTCAGTTTTCCTGGCAGTAGAAGCTGTCGTGACTGGCTACATGCAAAATCAGTGGCCTTCTGTAGTGCTGGAGATAAGTCTACTACAGGCTTTTTTTTTTTTTTTACACTGTAAAATGTTGATTAAAACCAATCCTTTTCTTTCTTGCCTTGAAATTTCAGCTTTCAGAAGAAGAGAAAATCCAGCGTTACAGCATTCTTTCCGAGCTGTATGAACGTATTGGTTTTCACCGCAAGTCTGCGTTTTTCAAGCGTATAGCAGCGATGCAGTGCGCCGCACCCAGCATCCCCGAACCCGGCTGGAGGGCCTGCTACAAACTGCTTTTGGAAACTCTCCCTGGCTACAGCTTATCATTGGACCCTAAAGATTTCAGCAAAGGTAAGTGTGATTTAGCATAGTAGGTCACTTGACTGGATTTCTATACCTAATTTCCTTGAGAGATTTCAAATTAAATCAAAATCATGTACCTATCTGAAACTGTTTGCGGCCAATAGAGCAGTTCTTTAACACTGCACCTTCACTTCTTCTTAGTGTCGCTTTCAGTAATTTCAAACTGCTGTGAACTGCAGCTGAATGTGTTGCTTTATACCTCTGTTTGCAGCAAATAATTGCTTTATTTATGAGAACTTCATTTCTACTCTTTTTCAAAAATGTTTTTGGTTATATACTTCTCAGAACAAAAAAAATTGTCTCTTGTGTTTGAGTATTTTTCAATTAAAGTGCCTTCAACTCGTGCATCAGAAATTGTATTTCTTTTGGTATTTGTTGCTGTTTGTTTTCATAATGAAAGAATGATTCTTTTACATATTTTTGTATATAGACACACACACATATACATATAATGCAGTTGTAAGGTCAAATATGTCACATTTTTCCACATATCAGATCAAAGTGATCTTATCTGTAAGACTAGCATTTGCTTAAGACATTTCAGTAGTTTTAGATGCTACATATGTTTAATTGCATCTATTAAAAGCCAAAGGATGAATAGTCCATAAGGAATGTGGCAATTCTTGTAGCTGTTAAATACGGTGTTCTCTTGTGCAAGTTTTGTGCTGCTTGCTGCCCTTCTTTAGGTAAGCTGTATTTCAACAGTTTTAGCAATGTTACCTAAAGCTCTATACAAAGCAATGATTTTAAAAGTTATCTTGATTTTTAATATACTATGCTGCGTTTTTCCTCTAAAGGAAGAGGCAGCTTGGCATCTCTTGAGTAAACACTTCCAAGTTGGCCAAATGTCATCATTCTTTTGTATAGTAGCGTTTCTGGGAACCATTCACTATATGTTGCAGCTGCAGCGGAAAACAGCAAGCAACAGACTGACCATGTGTTGGAGGAAAGGAGGTGGAGTTCATCAGTACCAAAACTCTGACCTGGTTTAAATATTAATAAAGACCAGCTGAAATATTCCTTTCCCGGAGGTGGAGTTCATCAGTACCAAAACTCTGAACTGGTTTAAATATTAATAAAGAGCAGCTGAAATATTCCTTTCCTTTTTGTGAGAGTACATTGACTGTTGGGATTCCAGTTCGATGATGTTGTGTAAGCTCAGTTGTAAGTTCAGTTATTCCTATGTATGCACAAATACAGATTAGGTAGAGAATGGATTGCCCTGAGGAGCAGGACTTGGAGGTGGTGGTTAAGCCAGGATTGTGCACTTGCAGCCCAGAAAGCCAACCCTATCCTGGGCTGCATCACAAGAAGTGTGGCCAGCAGGGCGAGGGAGGTGATTCTGCCCCTCTGCTCTGCTCTGGTGAGACCCCACCCCACACAAAACCTGCGTCTGCTTCTGAAGTTCTTAATAAAAGAAGAACATGGAGCTGTTGGAGCAAAACCAGAGGAGGCCACGAAGTTGATCAGGGGCTGGAGCACCTCCCCTATGAGGACCGACTGAGAGAGTTGGGGCTGTTCAGCTTGGAGGGGAGGGGAGGGGCGGCTTGGCTCCAGGGGGACCCTATTGCAGCCTTTCAGTAACTGAAGGGGGCTTAGAGAGGGACTTTTTACAAGAGCATGGAGTGATAGGACAAGGTGTAATGACTTTAAATTGGAAGGGGGGAAAATTTAGACTAGATATTGGGAAGAAATTCTTCCCTGTGAGGCTGGTGAGACACTGGCACAGGTTGCCCGGGGAAGTTGTGGATGCCCCCTCCCTGGCAGTGTTCAAGGCCGGGTTGGATGGGGCTTTGAGCAGCCCCTGTGTCCCTGCCCATGGCAGGGGTTGGACTGGGGGAGATTTAAGGTCCCTTCCAACCCAAACCATTCTGTGAGTCTGTGGTAGATCACTTAGCAATTGAAATAATGGAGGTATCTAGCCAATTCAGTCAAGGTATAATATGAATCAACTTGTCTTACTACCCACTGGGTGATATTTTCCAAGCTCTCTTAGCTCCACTGATGGAACAGGCATGTAGACAACCCACTGTGGATGTATGGATGGTTAGTTGTTTTTTTTTTTAAACTGTAATGTTTTTAGCCATCACTGAAGGAATTGATATGTGGGAAGAGGCAGAAAATGCCAAGTGGACTAGACAGAAAGAGACAAAGAGTCTAGGAAGAAAGAATGTGCTGGGAAAAATATGCTGTGGCCTATGAGGGAAAATAAGACCAGGACGAGACAGTGTTGGAGAAGAGGTTGTAGAAGTTCTGCAAGAAGTGACAGTTTTAAAAAAGTGACATGATTGGTATTTATCTTTCATTTTTGCCTTACCTTTATGGTGCAGTTAAGTGCTTTGTCAGACTTTACTCTTTTTGCCCTTCAAGTGGCTGTTTCAGAGACGTACGGAAAGATCGTTGTAAACTTTAAGAACTACTTGATAAAAATGACATTTCACACATGAAAAATAATGGTACTCTTGTGTGCAGAATGGAAACTCTCAAGGTTTGGCCGCAGTAAATATTTCTAGAAAAGTTTGCCAGATGCTGAAAGGTAATGTTAGAAGGAAGACTGTTTCAAAGTCTAAGAATTATTGCACATCTTGGAATAACTGTTATTTAAAAGTTATTGCTCTTGCTTACTACTAAAAGCAGGTTTAAGTTTCCTGAAGAGTACTGCATATTACATTTTTGAAAGGAAAGTTCCATTATGCTGATCTGTTTATTGTTACCATAGACTCTTTGCAAATGTGAAATAATTTATAGCCCGAAACTTAGTTTTTAAAGACTGAAAATCAGGAAATGTGCCTCATGTCCTGTAGTTTTATTGCTTTTTTACTGACTTTTAACAGCCAAGATAGCATTTAGAGAAAACATCTTTGCTTGATCTTCGAAGAAACTTAAGAAGTACTTTATTTGGATAAAAAAGAAGTTTCTGGTGAAGATGTTGTTGAAAGCTCAGGTGAATTTCTTGTTCAGAGAATTTAAACAAAAATAGAAAACTTTAAAGGTTTTCAATGTCATTTCAATTTCTTACTTCATGGCAAGCGTTAACTTCATTTCCTGAACTCTAATGATAAATTTATTAGTTGATAGACAAGCATATGAAACAAAAACTGCTTTCACATTTAGATATTCAAGCAAACTCGAAGATGTAAATTTTTCTTTTGTTTTGAGTACAAGATTTGGATTTAGTAATTATTGGTTCCATTGGGTGACTTTATATATATATATAAAATAAAAATTTAATTATCGCTTAGTATATAAAGAAAAGCACAACCAATTGACTTGTGATGACTTATAGCTTAAAAAAACCCTAAATGACTGCTTACTTTCTAGGCACTCATAGAGGATGGGCGGCAGTACAGATGCGTTTGCTTCATGAACTGGTTTATGCTTCCAGAAGAATGGGCAATCCTGCTCTATGCGTCAGGCATCTGTCTTTCCTTCTCCAGACCATGCTGGATTTTCTTTCTGATCAAGGTATGATTTTTTTAAAAAATGAGATATCCACACTTTCTTTTGTCCCACAGTCAAACAATGTGACTTCTTTTTGGAAATATATTTAATTTGCGTAGTAATGGAGATCAGGGAAGTTAGGGAATTCTGTGCACCTGTCAGTAATTGCTGGTAATCAATCACATATACATCATCATTAGTTTTAAATATTACAATGTTCCAACCTTCATGTGTAGCATCTAAAATGAAGTTGTCCTAATTTTTTTTCATCTGTAGGTTGACTGCTTCAAGCCTAATGCTCTGTTTCCCTGGTAAATGTTAGGAATATGATTGGAGGGCTTAATTTAATCTTAAATGGCTTTTCCAACCAAATGATTCTATCATTCTGTAATTTGTGTGTGGACTAAGAAAAGAAGTATTATTTGTAAATTCTAGCAGCCTTCAAGCCTTCGTAAGTGCTATTAATGAGGAGATTGAGAGGAATTGAAGCTGAAAAGTAAATTTGGAAGGGAAGCGTGTACTGGAGTTCAGAGTGAATCCACTGAGTTTTCTGATGAGAGACGTTTTCGGATGAAACATTAATGGTTTGGACACAAAAGTCATTTAATGGAGTCGGCACAATCCTTGTCCCTGTGTTTGAGACAATGGACTTGTGGTAGCTGAGCATGATGGAGTTGAGTTCAACAATATTTAACAGTAGAATTGCATTTCTGGAAGTCAGATAAGTTTCTGTGGTTTCTTTCAATTTGTGGGTTGATTTTTTTAAATTATTATTCAGCAATAAATTTCAGTGGGATTTATTAAATCTGTAAGTGGATAACAATGGAATGAAAGAGTCTGTGGGTGAATTTGAGCAATGGTAATGATATGTGCAAGGACCCTTTTGGGAAGGTGGCGTGTAGCACTTAGAAAATCACCTGGAGAAGGAAAAGGTGACAAATATACTGTTTGTGTTATGTTTCTTAGGAAAAATGTTTGACAGATTTATTTAGCACCCAGAATAATGAGACAGAATTAGTGATGAAACATTTAAAAAATGTTTTTTATTCACATTAAATTAAGTAAAAGGGGTATATTTTTCAGTTATTGTCTTGTTTACGATAAAGAGGATGGGAGTAAAACAATCCAGGTTTATTTTCCCCTCTTTTTTCATTTATTAATGGCCAAATGTCTCTCCGTGGTGACTTCTGCTGTTAAGAACTTTGCTGGTGAGCTTTATGTCTCTGCCTCCCAGTGAATCCCCTCTGTTTAGTGGCTGAAATCAGTAGTGGAGGAAGGAGAGGAGCTGATAAACTGGATTAAATTAATCTTTGTCTGTAGATCTTATTTGCTGTCAAAAGGGCCTTGGATTTTCCTGGACTTTTAATGAAGCTTCGTTGAAGGTTTGGCTGAAGACAAGACTTTGAGCTCTGCTCCAATGCATGTCCACATATGATATTGCTAATCCCTATTTCTAAAGAGGTTATAATTAAAGATTATCAATTAGAAGCTCTTGATTCTGTTAACGGAATACAAATGTGTAGACAAAACTGGTTTGTGTTTAAAACAACATTTTCTTATATTTTAATTGAATAACTATTTTAAACCACAACTTTTGTGTATGTTTACTGAAATTACAATTTCCAACCGCGCAGGCTGGCAAACCTGGATAAAAATTATAAAGTAAGTGGTAGATGTCAGTCACTATTTTAACAACATGGAAGCTGATTTAAAATGAAACTATTTAGTTATATAAATATGTAAACCGCAGTCTTCTGCTTAGCAAAGAGAGGTAGAAGGTCTCTTTTAGAAGCTTCTCTGCATAGAAGCTCTCTAATCTAAAGCCATTATGTTTTAATGTTAACAAGCCCTTGAGAATCGCTCTTTCTTTAAATAAGAAATAAATGTGCAGTTGCAAAGTTGCTCAGAATTAAACCTCTTGCATAATGCTTTTTGAAACATAAGACTGTGTGTACAGCTCACTGAATTTGATTAGGCTAAGGTCAAATACTTGGAAAAAACCCCAATATTTTATTTGGGATCTTCATCAAAAAGTGAGTGTCCACACAGAAAGCACTTACAGAGGGAGAATGGGCATCACCCCTGCAAGCTCACATCATTTCAGATGTTTATTGGGTTTCCAACTGTCGTGCCTGCTGTTTTGTTTCTGGTGGCCAGGATCTCAGTGCACTCAGGTGACCTTTTCTCACCATTCATGGTATGCAGTGAAGCTATGAACGCTTCATTCCTTTTTTGGGGTGAGTTTGGTTTGTTGAAGATCCTCTGAATTTTTCTGTTTTATTATTTGGGAAATAGTGTACACTTTTCAGTGCTTCTCGGGATACCTCTGCCATTAAGATCTTCCTGTCCTGGGATTTTGTGCTTTAGTTCTTCTCAGCCTCCTAGTGAGCTGACAGGCTTCACACCTGAGACCTCTCCTGATCTGTCTGTAGTTTACTTAAATTTCTGCCTCTATGATGATTCTGCCTTGCATGACGCCTGCAGAGGTTGTTTTTCATCTGTTCACCAGTGTTCCGGATGGTTTTATTCTTGAGGTGAGTGACAGTAGGTGATGGAGAGAAGATCTAGAAGTGCTTCCTGAAATGTGCTAGGGTGCCTTCCTGTCATTCCTGTGCGTGGTTAATGGTTAGTGGCTACGTGGCTGTTAATTTCAGCTGCATCCTCTGTTACCAGACTTTAGGACACAGATTGGTTCCCAAAGCGTTTTGGCAGCTATTTATGATTATGGAGGCTACTGTGAAGGTGCATGTTGGCCTTTCATCACCAGTTCTACCCGCTGGTCCTGCATAGTCAACAGGCAAAGGTACCAAGACAAACAATAATGTTCTGTATTTTTTCTTCTCTCTATCATGGAATTGATTTTGGACACAGCCTGCATGATTGTCTGAGATCTCTTGCGATCCTTTAGGTGCTCCTCTAGCCACCTGAATTGTCAGCACAGTATCTTCCTACTGTTATCATGAGGAAATTTGGTTTAGCCCTAGCAAACTACAAACAATATCCTGGGCTTCGTTGCAAATACCCCTTCAATAGAGACATATGCCTTTCCTGGAGTGGGTACTCATCACAGTCACTGATTCTGCTGAAAGAGATGAAGTCTTTAAACTTGTGACACTTCTCTCCAACCAGAGGACAGATGAAGTCCTGCACATGACGAAGGACTTAGAGGGTTTCCTCACTGTAGCTGGATATTTTATTTTCAGAAGCAAACCTTGTCAACAGAGCTCATCAGTCTCCATTAGGAGGGATTTCTCTGCGTAGATTTTAATTTTCAGTTTGCCTACTTTATGTATCTCCATACTATGAATTGCCTGAGATCATTACTTGGTCAGGAGCTGTTTTTATGGTATATCTCAGATAGTGATTGCATGCTATGGCTGCACTTGGTCAGTGGGATGATAGAAACATAGCTCTATCTCAGAAAAAGGATCTTGTTCCTTTCAAAGGTCCTGAATTAAATGTTCAGAAATATCCCTAGTTGTCTTGATGTCACTGATGTGATTCTGAACTCCACGATAGCAGGATTCTGTCCCTCCTGCAGTAGTGGCTGTTAGTTGGCACTTTAAAACCCTACAAGCTGATCCAACCTTAGAGGTGTGTAAGCTTGGCTCCAGGCTGTTTGCTCATGCAAGCAATCTCTTACCTTCTAAAAAAGACTTCTTCTTAGCCTGTGCTGAGATCATCCTCCCTGATGAAGAATTTCTGCCAAAATTGATGTTATTTCAGTCCCTCTCATCCTGTCGATTAGTGGTGATGGACTTGTCAGTGGTGACTGGGCAGACCTCTTTGATGCCTTGACAGGTTTGGGTTGTTGGTGGTTGGAGGACCAGGGACTGCATCTGAGGTTGCTTTCAGGACCTTCTATCGTCCTTTCAAGACTGCTGTGCTCAGGTGACGGCGGCTGCATGAGGTCTGTGCCCTTTGCAAAGGAGTGGTGAGCTTGGTTTAAGAAAAAAAAATCTCCAAACCCTGTTTATCTTTAGAAATTATGGCCTGGACTGGTCGTAATTTGCTGATGTCAGACGTGGTGGCTGACAACTCTTAAAATATACATTTCTATCTCACAGCTTGAAAGAGGAAAGCATGCAGTATTTTACAGACATTTTTATTTATAGGACGGATTGCATATGCATTCGCATGGTGATATTTAAATTTCAAATTGCTGTGTAGAAATATAGGAAATAAGGAAGAATATTAAACTAGGCTCATAAAAATTGGCAGCCAGACCAAAAGCAAATGTGGAAATGCCCGTAAGTGTAACCCGTCTGCCAAGCCTATATTGGTGACAGTAAAGACCAAACTCGATTTTTGAGGATCTTTACTTAAAACATTGTGTTGAATTTCCACTCATACACCTGAGAAAATGAAATCAAGCTACATGGGCCCTTGGTGAATTATGCTTCCACACAAAGATTTTATTAAATGGCATTCATTGGAGAAAGGGATAAAAATAACCTTTAAGCCTATAAATAAACACTGCTACTCTAGAGCATGAGATAATTTAAAAACACCTTTTGTTTTGAGGGTCTGTTGGAGCAACTTAAAGAATCACAGAATCATGAAAGCTGGAAGAGACCTCTGAGATCATCAAATCCAACCATCAAACCAACCCCACCATGCCCACTAAACCATGTCCTGAAGTGCCACATCCAGGTGCTTCTTGAACACCTCCAGGGATGGGGACTCCACCACCTCCCTGGGCCGCCCCTTCCAGTGCTTGACCACTCTTGCAGTAAATAAATGTATTCTAATGCTTGACCTAAACCTCCCCTGGTGCAACTTGAGGCCACTTCCTCTCATCCTATCACTTGTTATGAGGGAGAAGAGATCCACGCCCTCTCCTTTCAGGCAGTTGTAGAGGGCAATAAGGTCTCCCCTCAGTCTCCTTTTCTCCAAACTAAACAACCCCAGCTCCCTCAGCCACTCCTCATCATTCTTGTGCTCCAGACCCTTCACCAGCTCCGTTGCCCTTCTCTGGACACGCTCCAGTCCCTCAATGTCCTTCTTGGAGTGAGGGGCCCAAA